CGAAGAATTGCAGACTGTTCTCTGTGATTGCGAAACAGTTCTGAACACCCGCCCACTCACTTATATGTCAGAGGATCCAAATGATTGTATAGTCCTCACACCTGCGATGTTCTTACAAGACATCAAAGAAGTTGGAGTGATTGATCTCGATTCAGTTGAAGCCAAAGATCTGAGTAGACGTTCAAAGTATCGTTTGAAACTCAGGAAAGATTTGAACAATAGATTCAAATCCGAGTATTTGGGCCAACTCATTCTTTTCTCGAAGAAATCATCGGATGAGACGCTCAAAGTTGGAGACATTGTTTTGATCTCGGATTTCAATAAAAAAAAGGTTGAATGGCCTATTATGGGTCGTGTGGTTGAAACTATTCCTGGACGTGATGGTGTAGTCAGGTTGGTTAAGCTGAAAACTGCTACAGGTGAATTGCTGAGACCAGTACAACGACTAACTTTGATGGAAATGAATAATTCAGAGAACTTACCTAAACGTACAGATTCGAGAAGGAGTGGAAATATTCGTACAAACACTGATGTAGAGAAGTTGACTAACAAAACATGTCTACAACAAGATCTGGAAGACACATGAAAGTTCCTGATAGATATGAACATTGATTGTGTCATAACTTTGATGAAAGGATGACACAAGGTGGGAGTGTGTTAGAAAACACTTTGTATTTCATTTCATTTCGATTGTTTTTTTCGACTTCTGAGAGATGATGACAATGTAAAAGATAGATGTCTAATATTGCATTTTTCCTGTAATAAAGTTACTCATTCGAAGTAGATTCGGCTACCTATTCATTCCTACGGCTTAGAAGTAGGCGATTCCGAGACTGAAAGACTGAACAATGAACTAGTTTAGCCCACCCCGAAATTCTTCTATATTTACGTGGTACCACTATTTCTATATTACTATTGTGTCAAGATATTATATAAACAGCTTTACGACTACCTGTGATTAGGTACAAATTGAATATGTATCCAATTATTCAAGAAGCGTTTCATACTCTTTTCCATCAGACTCCCAATGATACGACTTTTTTATTACTCAAAAAATCCACAATATCGTGGGTATGTCTATTCTGGACATTTTGCTATAAACGTTATGTATATTCATATATGTTGAATCTATATCAGAAATATCTGGGTAGGTAATTTATATAACTAGGCACCTATAATAGTATGTTTGACATCATGCTTAGCCAAAATTTCAGGCAAATCATATATTTTCTTCAATGAACTAGAATTAAAGATACTGAAATATCATTAACATTCTATAACATGAATCAGAATGAGAAACTTGCATGGTTCCTTTTATTATGTATTCTTGATAATTTTGACAGGTAACTATGAAAAATACGAGTTCTTCATGATATCTTCAAAATATCTGTTATTCTTCTTCCTGAACAAATCGACTCTTTCAGGAAACTTGTATATTCCGATAATAATGAAAGAATTTTCTCATTCACACACTAAATAGCATCAAATTGGAAAAAGTGATATGTTTAACTAGGCAGCAAAGTAGTAGATTGACTGCCGAGGCTGATTTCATCGCTACGCTCGGCTAGGAATCCAGCTAAGGCAGTCAATCTACTTTGCTGCCGAGTTGAACATATAATTTTTTCTCCGATTGTTCATAATGATATATATTTCTTTATTTTTCTTGTGATGTTCAATTAAAATGAAATTTGATAGAAATCGCAGTTGTTGGATGGTTGGTTGCTATGGAAATGTCCATAATATCTATAGATTGACAATTCATGAAATTTCTGACAGTTGTGCGAAAAAATATCGGATTATTTGAATTATTATATGATAGACAGTGATAGCGACCTGGAAGTACTTACACCTCCAGATATGAGGGAGGTGGCAAAAAATATAGAGTTGAATTTGTAGCCGGAGAAGTCTTGGATGAAATATGAAGGAAATTATAGACGATTTATGGATTATTAATTTTGCTGATACATAGGCTGTCGGCTGAGCATTATTCTTTGAAATGTGTGATTCATGGTTGTAATCCTGGCAGCACCTTGATGCCCTAGAAGTGGTTCGGATTCCACTATGAGCTGTAGGTCCCGCTCTTCCTAACCACGCACAAGTTTCGACTTCTGGGGAGTTGGTTCCCAACTTCGAAGTAGCGATATACAAATTTTACAAATTCTACAAATTTTTATATCAATCAGCAAAGTAACCACTTAGCTACCTAGGCAGCAAAGTACCGACTTTGCTGCCTAGGCAGGAGAAGTAATAATTTGCTGATTGATATGTGTCAGCAAAATTGATATTTGCTGCCAATCGAAAAAAAAATTGTTTTCGTCACATATAGAAAAGCCCTGTATAAAAATCCTATATATCTCCATCATCATTTACCCCCAAAAATACGGTTTTCTCCATAGGTTTCTGAATTGAATATTTGGAATTGACCACTATCTTTCTTTTTGTTCCAAATACATTGACCACTGCAGAAATTCAATCAAGGATCATTGAGATAAACTGCAGTTTGTTTTCAATTACTCTGGTGAGGAAGCGGAGATCTGATTATATTGATTTCTAGAAAAAATATCTTCATATTGTAGAAATAAAAATTTTCAACTTGTTGGCCATTGTATGGGGTGAACGTTGTGTCATTGCTCGCTTTTTTTTTATTTGCCCTGTTGCTTTCATATCCTGCTAATTATTTCTTCCTTTTCTGTCATACTAACAAGCAAAATATTATAGTTGTGTCCAATTCTTGGTTTGTTTGAATGTTTGTTCATTCCAGTCCCCATTGTTTTCGAAAATAATCATATTGACACTAAGTTGTATTCATTGATTGACGCATCAATAATGTCATTTTTTCAATTATGTTGGCACTAAGTTGTATTTATTCATTGACGCTCATTTTGACAAGCGCTTGAGAGATATATAGGTAGAGATAAGGTAATTTCTTTTGCATGAAGAATGTATCACTCTCCAACACCTTGTGTAACTCACTTCAACTTACACTGTATTCGAGTATTTGACTGAAAAGTGCACTCCATACCAGTCTTGTTAATCTCCACCTACTTGATAAAATACTTAAAATACCTACATGTATGGTGATGTGTAGCAAAGAAATTTTGAAAGTAACTGACATTATTTATTATTTGAAATGGCTCTTTCACTCTTTTATCAGCTGATAATCGATAATCTGATATCCGTTTCAATCAAACGGCGGTTTGTTTATTACAACTTATACCGAAATCATTTCATGAATTTCAAATTAATGTTTTCATCATCTACTTTTTGTAGGTCAAGTTCGTATCTTATCATCATAGGTTATCTCCACTGTCTTCGTTACCTACAGCTGAAGTTCCAAGAATTATTATGGAATAGCTAGATCAAAAACAATTATATATTCCGTTTCACCACTTCTTTTTTCTAGTCATTTCAGAATTTTGAATCCTCGAATATATTGTTAATAACGCAAAAAGTATACGAAAGAGCATATTATAGGCAACTGAAGTTGTCGTGCGTCTACGATATATTACCTCATGTCTTGTTTCATCATAAATAAATCACGAGGTGAGGCAAGTTGTGAAATTCGGAGGTTCAAGGATTTCCAAAACTATAGGTCAGGGCCAGGAAACTTCATTTCACTAAATGGCTATGATTTGAACTCATCGATGACCACTCTATATATATGTACAGGGGTGTTTCATCAGTATTAAAAAAAAATCGAAGTGTATAGATTCCATGACCAAATAAAACAAAGAAAATGAGAATAGCTTTTTCATTGGCCATGGGGCACCAATAGTAATGCGCTCATCTTCATAGAAAAACATATGCGTGGAAGAAAACAAAACTTGGTTACTGATGAAGACTTATGAGAGTTTCAGAACAAGAAGAAGCAATGATAGAGTGTCCGCCATCCGTCATAAAGCCGGTAAAATACCTACAGATAGGAAACTTCATAATCGCAGTGGGTATTTATAAGAAAAATGAATTTTAGATAGTATGGCAGTTGAGAGAAGTGGACGGGAGCAGAAATATCAGATAGCAGGTGTGATAGATAGCAGATGCGACAGGCAGCAGTAGTGACAAATAGCAAGTCTGATGGTAGGAGAAGTAGGTGGCAGGAGTAGCAGGTGGCAGAAGTGGCAGATAGTAGGGTCAGCAGGTGGCAGGAGTGGCAAGTGACAGGAGTGCAAGTGGCAGGAGTGTCAGGTAGCAGGAGTGGCAGGATGCAGAAGTTACAGGTTGCAGGAGTGACAAAGCAGGAATGGGGAAGCAGGTGTCAGGTAGCAGGACAGATAGATGGCAGGAGTGGCAGGTAGCAGGAGTGGCAGGTGGCAGGAGTGACAAAGCAGGAATGGGGAAGCAGGTGTCAGGTAGCAGGATAGATAGATGGCCGGAGTGGCAGGTTGCAGGAGTGGCAGGTGGCACGAGTGGCAGATTTCAGGAGTGGCAGGTGTCAGGAGTGGCAGGTAGCAGGTAGTAGGTGGGTCTGATGGCAGGAGTGTTCGGTGGCAGGTACCAGGTGAGTCTGATTGGTAGAGAGGCAGGTGGCAGGAGTATTTGTTGTCAGGAGTGGCAGGTGTCATGAGTGGAAGGTAGCAGGTAACAGGTGAGTCTGATGGCAGGGGTGGTAGGTACCAGGTGAGTCTGATCGGTGGAGAGGCAGATGGCAAGAGTGTTTGTTGCCAGGAGTGGCAGGATTGGCAAATAGAAACATCATCATCATCGTGTATTTGTTTATGTTTCTCCGTGTATGCTCGACTTATCCTTGTGAAGTGCGCACGCATACCCAAACTGCTCAAATCAGATGTAGCCGAGGTGATTTCTTCAGTCTACGTCAGTCATTCAACGAGATTCCGTCGTTATGTGCTGTAATATTTCCATAATTCTCATTGTTGTTTTTGTTTCATCCCACTTTGGTGCACTATGTGTATACGCAGGTCTGAAGCGTATGTCGAAATAGTGAGTGAGTGTTGTTCATTATTCCGTTTTTGATAGAGATGTTCTGCAAAATTGTTTCGACGATGCTCAGGTGAGTGATAACTCTTTTTTCGATGTAAACTCAATCAATAATATGAGGTGGGGCCCTCACTACACCATTCGACTTAGAAATTCACCAATTCAACCAATCAAGGCCAAGCACCACCCTCTCCCGCACCTGTGAGACACCACCCCTTGTAAGCTCCACCCACCCCCCTTCAAGCTCCACCCCCCCCTCCAAGCTCCACCCCACCCCCCTCCAAGTTCCACCCCACCCCCTCCAAGCTCTACCCACCTGCTAGGCCCCGCCCATCCTAGGGTGGTAGTGGTGAAGGGTGCCAAAGGTAACGCCATGACTACTGACTGTCTTTCGAGAAACCCCATTATGCAAGCAGAAGGGACAAAAGAAGTTGATATGAGTAGTGATACAAAGCTGATTGATCGCCAGAGCCTCAATAAAATGCCGCTAGTTAGCGTTGGCGCTGGTGTCGCTGGTGTCGCTGGTGGCGCGAAGTTCAAATTTGCAGATGGCGGCGGCGCTGATGGCGGTAAATTTGAAATTGTGAGGTTATGACATCTTAATCATGATGAATTTTTAAATAAATAAATTAAAAAAAGCTGTCACCACCGGTGGGGGAAATTGAACCAGGGACCTTTGCATTATGGGGCAGCGTATATACGCACTGCGGTATTCCGACCTCCGTGATATTTCAATTATTTAAATGCTATTCAAACGGGATATCCATTGCTGGCGCGCGCTTATCTTTGCAACGGATCCATCGAGGTAGAGTGAAGCGAGAGATGCATTCCAGAGATAAGAAACTTCGAGTCGAAAATAATATCCATCGCTGGCGCGCGCGCGCTTATCTTTGCAACGGATCTATCGAGGTAGAGAGTAAGGCGGCTCGAGCGCTCGGCGCTGCAACGTTGTCGGACGTATGTGTTTGGATGTTAATATTGTTACATTATTGTGTGTGGCAACGCTGTCTCGCTTCATGGCGTTCGAAGATCCAGCAAAGCGAGAGATCCCTTAGAATGATAAGCGCGCGCGCGCTCGTATTGGAAACAAATACTTGAATTAATTATTTATTTTATAGTGGGTGACGTCATGCTGTTGGTTTTTTTTTTTTCTTCTGGTAAAATGATCACGTGTGTGGGTACTCTCAAAATAGGATTTTTTATGGACAATTCGGAAATGTCAATATACCTATATGCAAAGCCGCATGGTTTGAGGGATATCGTTCTACCATTGACATATGTCATTAATGGTACATAAATGCGAAATGAAACTACTACTACTACGAGGAAAATTATTGTTAGATGATCAATTTTTATTTCACAGTAAAGCTTTTTTACAAAAATAGCATGATTCTTGAGAAGATGGCGGTCCATCCCAGTGAGTATTTAATGACAAAAACAAGATTGAATTTTCATATACAGGGCGTTTGAGTTGATGAAGATTGAAAAAAAAATATATACAGGGCAGCCCATGGGGGTAAAAGAATACGAAAACGAAGATAAATAATCTATTTATTTAAGTAATCCTTTTCTACAAAAATGACATGCCTCTTGAGAAGATGGCGGTCCATCCCAGTGTGTAGTCCAATCGGGACGATTATAATGAACGAAGCATGGCAGTTTGATTTGTAGGTTAAAGTTGCTGCGATATTCTTGAGGAAGTTTGTGCCACACCCTTAATAGCCCATAAGGATCTGCATATTCAATGAGACATTCTACTGGAATGTACTGCAATTCTTGTTCAGTGAATTTCGTCAAAGTCAAAGCGGGAGATTTTATAAACTCCAATAGCACAGCTATTTCAGACTTCATGATTTTTCGAGCAGAGCTAAAATATTTCAGATGCTACTAGTCTCGCGTCAAGTTGTAGACTGATGAAATGAAAAAAAACTAGTCACATTTTTCACAACATTTTATTCAAATCAGACATAACCTCATTTTTACAATAATATAGATATTCTCTGAGAGCGTTACTAGACATGCTATCACAAACATCACAAAATCCAGATATAAGCTCTTCCGCACCCAAATCAGTCAGGCTATTTCTAATCCAATCGGCTATAGTATTCAAAATGTTCTGATAATACATGGAAAAGTCCAATTTGTTTATTAGCGCAACTCGATGTGAAACAACACACGTTTCAGCCCTCAAAATGTCTGCAACATCCTCTTCCACCAATTCGAATGTAATGTGGTATTTGGTGAGTGACAACATTTTGACACCATCGCAAACGAATTTGGTTATGGTGATATAGTCTCCGCAGGTGGTAACGGCAGGATCATATTCATCAATGAAACAGGGCAGGGGTGCTTCAAAAAAGTCTTGTTGTACCTTATACAGCGAATCGATGAAGGTGGCCCATTCATATGTGGAGAACGAAATTTTCGCTGGATGGAAGGGTTTCTTCAGGATGATGCTCGGACTAAACTGTCTAGCTGGACTAAGTCCGTACTGAATCATGTAGGTGGACAACTGGAACGATGAAGTCAGCAGGAGGTACGATTCGGCTTTCGCTGCTTGCTCAATCATGTCCAAATATGTATCAACGTCACCATAATAACCCATCATTGCCAATGAACTAGTACTACCGTTTTCGGAAAGCACTTCACTAGATGAATAACCAGAGTCTTCACTCATTGTTCTCGAACTGATGTGTTGAAAGTTTCAGTCCTCATTATTTATACCACCACTACCAACACGTCACAACATCCGATAATGGTTGTTATTTGTCAGCGATCGACGTGAAAGGCCCCTCACATCCATTGAATTTGTGCTAGTTTTCCATATGATTACATTATAACTTGTTGGTGGAATCAATCCAGCTGTTATGTGTATCATCGAATCCTAGCCATTTGACAAACACCTTTTTATCCCTCTTCCTTAAAACTTTTTCCACTAGGTAAACATCGGAATTTTCAGTTTTTTGCAATTCTTCAGGATAAAAGGCACCTTCGATCGGAGTACCATGCAAATCTTCCAAGATGTATGTAGTAGGTTTCGTAATACGAACTTTTACGATTTTAAATAGTTCAGTAGTCCAATTTGGTGTATAATTCTTTTCGAAAACATGTTTGGCTTTGCTTATTCTCACAATGTCACCAACGTCGAATTTTCTGGTTCCAGCAATTTTGATGTGATTGTACGTGGATTTTAAAATATCTTGTTCGTTGGCTTTGGTGACGTCACTGGGCTTGCATCTTATTGTCGTATGTTTCGTGTTATTATAATTTTTCGTGATTTCAGGCAGGACATCTATCCAACGGTATGAGCCATTCAAACTAAAGTACTTGTATAGTTTTTCCTTCAATGTCCGTATAACACGTTCAGCAATGGCTGCCTTCATTATGGTGTACGTATGATAATGGTTGATGGAGAACTTTTTCATCAGACTTTGAAACTTTTCGTTGTAGAATTCGGTACCTTGATCGGTTTGCAAATTCTTGGGAATTCTGTTGTTGGCATGCGATAGAATATCAGCAAATGCACGAGCGATTTCAGCACCAGTTTTTGATTTTAGTGGTCTAGTCCATAGGTACTTGGAAAAACAATCAATCACGACCATTATCAGCTTGTGATCCTTATTAACAGAGGCATAAGGTCGCATTTCGGCTAGATCCATTTGCCATAAGTCATCCAAACCTTTGATGATAATGCGGCGCCTTGGAAATTTTTTCCTAGCAGGTCTATGTAATTCATTGACGAGTTGGATTTTTTCTTTAGAATGTGACATATTGACTTTGTTGGATTAGGAGTTTATATGATGGGTTTCACACAGGAGGCTTCCTTTTTGGTGGCGGTGGTGTTGTCGTAGATTTTGGAGTGATGGCAATCTTGGTCAGATCTTTTTTCATTTGATCAATGACATCAGCGAGCTGGCGTTCTTTATCACGGCTGTGTTGTTGCTCAGCCTTCAAATCGTGCAAACTCTTCACAGTGTTGTCAATCTTATCGACAAGTTCTAGAATATTTTTCACATTCAAGTCGATGTCGCTTTCGAGTTTTGGTAGAGAGTTGTTGCGAAGCTGCTCCACATGTATGTTGATCTTGTGCACTATGCCAGACAACTGAACAAAGTTTGTATTGAACGTTGCCAGTTTCTGATCATGTACATCCACTCTCTTCCTTTCTTCGATAATTTCGTTGCTGAAGCCAGCAAGGTAATTCCGGATTTTTTCACCGTAATTATCGAAAGCAATCTTGAAATCTAACTTTATTTGCGATATAACTTCATCCACATATTGTTTGTTTGCAACATCAGCGACATCTGTTGGCAGTTTTACGTTACACATCTTCAAATGACCAACATCAATATCACCGGTTGGAGTATGTGAAAATCCAGATCTGACTGTCACCATCTGAGCTGAGCGTGGAAACGAACCACGTCCGAATTTGTCGAGACTCATTATGCTAATGACTAAAGTATTGTACGTTATCGATAATGGTAGACACTTTGCCTCGCCAATTATTAGCCCCTTCACTCATAGACATGCCATGAAAGTGTTACGGAACTGTCAAGGAAGTGTCACGGAACTGTCACGGAAGTGTCAAGGAAGTGTCACGGAACTGTCACGGAACTGTCAAGGAAGTGTCACGGAACTGTCACGGAACACGGAAATGTCACCGAATCGTCACACATGTTTTATTATGCCTGCCTCTTCTAATTCGTTCAAGATGGCAACAATCTCGTTATCGTTTGATGTATTTCCGGCTTGCTGTGATGCAATGAGCAACTTCAATCTATCTACCAATTCGTTTGGATCATCCCAATACATGTATTCGATAGGTGCTGTGTTGTATGTCATCTTCAAACCACGACCACTGGAATTGGATCTGAACATTGGACGAATAATTTCTACGTATTTGAGTCTAGAGGAGGACTTCATACGTCCTGCAGAATTCAGATGAGCTTTGGTGAGCAAGAGTATTTGCTTGTATGGGTTCGTATCATCTTTGGCAAAGGATGGATCATTATAGAAGAGTAATTGATAGAGGCCTGGGGTGCCACGGAACCGAAAGCCATCAAGAAGTATATCTCCAGTTCTTCGATGGAAATTCATTTCTTTTCCGTTGAGAGACCATTTCGATGTTACTGGATCATATTTGGGACCATAAACCGTATCGATATTTTCATCATTTGTCCAGTATTCAGTCAGATATTTTTGAGCCATCGCAGGATACTGATCAACGTAATCATGTATTGCAGCCGGTGAGATATTTTCACTCTCTACAAAAAGTTCATCATCAGCATCGTCATAACCATCCTCATCATCATCTTCAGTATGCCCAGCATTATCAGCCACATCCATCATAGGTATGAAATTAGTTTGATTCAAATCCGATTGCTCCCTCTCCACCTCCCCACCCTCTTCCTCCTTCTTCTCCTTCTTCTTCTCCTTCTTCAACCCCAACGATTTTGCTCTACTTCGCTTGATGTTTGAAAGCGTTCCATCGAGTTTTTCTTCTATGACCTTGGACGCGGAGGCAATTTGTTTCAAAGGTGATGTCAGTGGTTGGAATATTTTCTGTAACGCATCATCATCCTCAGACTTGCCCAATTTTAGTGCTAAATATTTTCTTCTGATTGATTTCGATAGTTCGTTGATTTTTTTCTTGCGCAGCGCATCAGCAACATCATCATGCATCTTGGTTGACGTCATCTTGATGAATGGTCCAAAGATCACAGTCTTATGAACTTATCGAAACCATTTCCATATCTGCCAGCATTCATATCGAAAGTTTTTGCAATCACCATCGCACCATATTGGTTGGAATTCCAACACTCTGAGCACAATGCTTTAAATTGATCGAATGACATGTCTGGTGAGACATGCTCGTCGAACACATGCTTCAAATTCATTTCATCCTGTCGAAATAACACCAACAGGTTACTGTTGTCTCGCACCAGCTGCTTCGGTATCTTAGAAAAAGTCTGGCATAGGTATGCTACGTCAATATCCTTGTGTCTACACATTGAAAAATATTCTCGAATTTTTTGCTGCTTGTCGCATGATACATCATCAAAAATGAATATCGAATGATTTTTCGCTTCTGATGGACTAATGACATCATCATTTTCTTTAAAGGGAAAATACCCAACACCTTTCACTGAATCCAACACTTGTTGCAGCAATTGATATTTCGGTTGGTACAACGACTTTGAATACACGTAAACGTTCTTGAATTTCGCGCCATTTGGATTGAACAGCAGGGAAAGCATCGCATTGGTCTTTCCACATCCGCTTGGTCCGCAGAAGATTGCTCTGAACGAATGGGGAAGCAGTTTCCCATGTTTACTATTAACTGGTGGTTTGGTTGACAAAATTTCATCCAAATTCACAATGGGTAACATCCGTTCTTGTTGAATGATCTTCATCATGTGATGATATATTTTTCATTTCATTAGGTATATGCAGAGTTGTCGAACTTCCTACACATCAGTCTTCATGTTGCTCTACCACGGAGAGGGTGTGCTTTATTCTCTGATCGATAAACTTCCCATCGAATTACACATTCCAGGCTACAGATTTTGTGGTCCAGGTACCAAACTCGATAAAAGACTTGCAAGAGGAGACACCGGTATCAATCCGTTGGACGACGCGTGTCGAGAACACGATATCGCCTATTCACAAAATTCCTCAATAGAAGACAGACACAAAGCTGATTGGATATTGGAAAATCGAGCGTGGGAGAGAGTCAAGTCGAAGAACGCTAAATTCAAAGAGAAGGCTGCTGCTTGGCTTGTCACCACCGGAATGAAGGTCAAACGAAAACTCGGCATGGGTCTTGTATCACAGCAATCCCTATCCAACATTATCAAATTCATAAAAAATGTACTATCAAAGTCAGATGGTGGTGGTGGTGGTGGTGGTAGTACAACATCAGGAAGTGGTCTGAATAAATCTGCATTGAAAGCACTCCATGCAGCCAGAATGGCAATCAAGAGGGCTGGCGGTAAAAAAAGAATCAGAGTACCAAGAATCATACCTCTTCCACACAGTGGCGGTATACTACCATTGATACCAATCTTTGCCGCCTTGGGAGCCCTAGGATCTCTAGCTGGAGGAGCCGGAGCAGTCGCAAAGACAGTCATTGATGCGAAAAATGCAGAGAAAGAGCTCGAAGAAGATCAAAGACATAATAAAGCAATGGAGGCTATCGGCAAGCAGGGTTCCGGCCTATTTCTACGCAAAACATCGAGAGGATTCGGACTGTACTTGAAGAAACAATCAAAAAACTCAAAAAACTTCTAGACAAGCTACCCAATAAATCAATGTACGATAAAGATGTGATAAAGTATGCCAAACAGCTGAAAATACCGTATTTTCGAGGTGATTTTATGCGGGACACTCTACCTTCCACCGGTCCATGGCATCGCGAGTGTGCTGTATTGAATTTGGATACCTCCAATCATGCGGGCACTCATTGGGTGGCTTACATAAAGAATGATAAAAAAGCCTTATATTTCGATAGTTATGGCAATCTGAAACCGCCCAGAGAATTGGCGCAATATTTGGGTGCCAGCACGAAAATCTTGTACAATAACAATCAATACCAGAATTTCAATCAAAGTAATTGTGGACGTCTATGTTTAGAATTCCTTTTTAATGAGACCAAGTAACTCGGTCATTGTGCATCAGTCATGTCTCTGATTGTGACGTTGAAAGGTCGTACATCTACGCTCTCCATAGACTTTTTGACACCACTTCAACCCGATCCAGACTCTGATTACGGACTAGCATTGTTGGGATTCCATTCATACAACAGTATACCAAATATCGACAAAGGATCAAAGTTTTATCTGCAAGATAAGACCAAGGCGGGAAAGATCATCGATATTCCCGAAGGTTCATACGACATTGTGGACATTGAGACATTCATACGCAAAGAATTGGGCATCTCAAGTGCAAAGGACGTTGATGATATATTCTCGTTGAAGCCCAACAATAATACACTAAAGTGTGAGATTTTGAGCAAACAGTTTGCCATTGATTTTCGTCCAAAGGATAGCATAGCTCAAGTCTTGGGATTTTCAAATAGATTGTTGGACGCACAACAAGTCCACACTTCCGATTTGCCGGTCAGCATAACCAAAGTGAGAACCATTCACATTGATAGCAACGTTACTGCTGGAGCTCTCTACAACGACAGACCATCACATACGATCTACGAGTTTGCAGTTGCAGTCGATCCTGGTTACGCCATAGACGAGACTCCCAGAAATCTAATCTATCTACCTATAGTCAGCAGGCGGGAATTGCCCAACATTACACTCCAGATTCTAGACCAAGATTTCAGGCAGGTGAATTTTAGAGGTGAAGAAATCATCATAAGATTGGAATTGAAGAAACTCGCAAGATGGTACTAGTGTTTGATTACTCCTATAAATCAGATAATATACCATCATCAGCAACATCATCGGCACCAGTTCTCTCGACACCGTACACCAAAGCAGTCGTGTCTTCGAAGAGCAGCAGCAGCCGCAACAGAAAAACATTGACATTATCCAGTGTCCTGTTTCTGAAATCACTCAAAGACTACAATGTTGTTAGCACCCGTGTTCGACGTTTTCCGCAAACCCAGACTCGACGAAAGCATCACTAAAGTGGAATGGCGTACCTATTATCCATATGTGAAATCATTCGAGAACAATGATGTCATCGATATAACGGTTAATCAAGCAGATTCGTGGTTGGCCATGTTTGAAGGCATCATTACCATCAAGGGTAAATTGAAGGTGACCGGTGGTGGTACTGGTACATTAACCCACAGCGCTGGAGCCTATCTCTTTGATTCCTGCACCTATGAATTATGTAATAAAGAATTGGACACTGTCAGATATCCTGGAATAACGAGTACTGTGCGAGGATACTTATGTTATACGCCTGAAGACTCACGTCATCTAGCCATAGCAGGCTGGAACTATCCCAATGCTCCGATCCTCAACACCGATGGTACGTTTAGCATGAACATTCCACTGAAACATTTGTTTTCCATCTTCAATGATCATGAAGTGGCAACGTGGGGCAAGCAGTCAATCCGTTTAGTGAGAGCTCGCAATGATGCCAACAGTGTGAAGGTTGTCGAGAGAGCGAATACTGCTTTGCCAGGATCTCCTCAGACTCAAAGTACTGCTAAAATAACGATAGAAAGCATTAATTTGAAAGTGCCACATCTCACACCCAACGATGACATAAAGTTGCAGTTGTTGACACGTATCAAAGCAGATGAGCCTATGATGATACCGTTCCGTCGATGGGAATTGCACGAGCTACCAGCACTCACACAAGGATCCACCATAGAAATCTGGTCCGTCAAGACATGTTCTGCATTGGACAGTCCAAGATATGTTATAGTATTTTTCCAAACGAAAAAAGCCGATAATTTGCATGAAGACGTCACCTTGTTCGATAATGCCAACATCAAATCCATACGATTGGCTCTGAATAGCGACTATTATCCGCAAGAACGAATGCTATTGGACTTTTCCAAAGACCAATATGCCGACGCCCACTTCAACTATAAAGAGTTCAACAAGAGCTACCATAACTGTCAAGAAAAGCGCTCTCTAGTAAACTTTGCCGAATTCAAATCCCGACCAATGTTTGTTATCGATTGCTCGAGGCGCCATCTGGGTCTAAAGTCGTCCACAGTTGACATAAAGTTGGACATTGAAGCTACTACAGGCTTCCCTCCCGACACCAAAGCCTATTGCATCATCATTCACGATCAAACCATGGAACATCTCCCACTCAGCGAAATTGTTCGAAATATTGCCTAGGTGGGTGTTGCTGCATCAGTCAGACGTCAGTTTGCTTCGAAGAGTCATGGAGATCGCACTGGTTGACATTCAAGGGTTCATGGTTGATGGCGAATTCATTCCAAAGGAAATGACCATTCGCATTGGCAAAAAGACGAGTCATTTTCTATTCAAGCCATCTGTAGAATTTTCGAGTTTGAGCAGAGAAGATAAAAAGATGGCAAATCATGTGGAGCGTTACGTTCATGGTTTAAAATATTCCAGTGGTTATGTGGATTTAAATGAGTTGGATCAAATACTACGAGATAACCTGCAGCAAACAAATATCATCTACGTTAGAGGACACCAAAAGATTCAGTTCTTGCAGCGAAAATGTGCAGAGTTGGAGATGACCAATCACATTGTGAATTTAGAAGATTTTGACAATTCTTGGTGGCAACCAATAACGTTTCAACAATCCATTCCACCTTGCATGCATCATTTCCATGGAGGAAGGTTCCAGTGCAGTCTCCACAATGTCGATACTTTATATAATTGGTTATGTAATTTATTGCCAAAATAAAAAACTATATATCGTAATTTCAGAGTTTTTATTCATCACATCCCTTATTTCTCAGTATAATGAAAATAACATGTGAGATTAAAATGAGTGAACATATTAGTGTACAACAAAGTGTCAAAATTGCAATGATATTGACCGAATCTTGATCATCATCTAATTTTGCGGGGGATTTCTTCAATGTAAATGTCTGCCAGTCCCCAGTTTCACCGTCACTGCCATCAGAAAACGATAATTTCAATTTGTAGTCGATGGTGGTCCCATTGACTCGAGGCATGTCGATTGAATATACAGGTAGTTTGTTATCATTGGCATACATTCTACTCATCAGCTTCCAATCACACTGTTGTGTACGATTCACATCAAAACATACGGCTGCATTCCTCGTATTGTACGGTATGTTTGTGTAAAAGACGTTGTTGCTCAGAGCTGTCAATAGAATGAAGCTTGCTTTCAGTATCGCCATCTAGCTGTGTTGGTTGGATTCTTCTCGATGTAGGTGCAGCTGTGCGTCTCGGTTCTGTGAACACCTTGTCCCAAACACTCAATTGCTCGAAATCTTTGAACAAACAAACTTTCTGCTCATACAATTGGATGTCTGCACTGAGCTTTCTAACTTTCAACCCAAATTCTTCTAGTGCACGTCTGTATTCGTCAGAAGACATGATACAACTGTTTTTTACATCCATACCTTCAACTAATATCCATCCAATCTCTCTCTCTCTCTCTCTTCTTCTCACTTTTTCACCTTCTCACTCTCTCTTACACTCACTACCCATCCCAATGATACACAGAAAATTTCAGAGATTTCGCATTTGGAGATCTTGAAAACACTTCCTATGATGAACTTAGTCGTTTTGTTCAGATGTTTTCTAAGAATTAGTGAGTGTGGCATCGCTCACCATGCGCATGCCCTAATAACACAATAACATCAGTAAGACGTCGTAGAACCATCCATATGGGATGATAGGAACAACTCTGGAAAATCCCTATTTTCCTTGGGACATTCTTGTCAGCATTTGCGATGTCTTATAAACATCCCATCAGAATGTTTGTGGGATGATACGGGATGTACCAGAGACATTCATGGTATTTGATATGGAACATCTTGAAGAAACTTTTAGGATGTTTTTTATCTGATGACAGTGATGGATGACACGGTATGAATTATTTTCATTCTGAAATCCTGAGAATGACCGACCTATTTGCAGATATAAGGTAACAATTCGAATCCGAAAATATATAAGTTCGGTGCAGTGCAATAATCAATGGAAGTTGATAACAGTTGTTTGAGGCTCATATTTATTTGTTGGCGATCGGCCGACGGCTGTTAGTAACTCTTAGCAACGTAGTTGTACCGCCATCTATCGGCTGGTATAACAAATAAATTCAGCAATGAATATGCTGAAGAGATATATTCAAATTTTGTCGTTTATTACATGGTTCATGAAGTTAAGCAGGTTCTTTGGTAATCTTATTGAGGAATATTTAGTATAATCATTCCAATTTGTTATCGATGAAATTAGCCGCCGGCTTTGGTATAGGAATAAGTACGAATACAGTTTTGATTGAATTTAAGGTGTTTCTTCCTAGGAGAACACCCTATTCAATTATCAGCCCAATGTATTCTAGTTAAGTACCTATGATATAAATTGATTTTTCTACAAAAATTGCCACATAAACATACACCATGTTCCAATATCGAATTTCATGAAATGACAGACTATTAGTTGTGAGAAAATCAGCAAGCTGAAGAGTTTTGCTGTAGTCATAGAAAACGCGTAGTATATAACTCACACAGAATGCTCGTATGATTTAACTTATGCAGCATACTTGAGTGCTTTCATTCACTCTGCACGATAAAAGACAAGTGTCCGACTACTGGCAAAGAAGAACACAACTTGTTGCTTCTTTTTGGCTTATTGATAATATGATCTATTGAGCATTTCTTTCATGCATCACATAATATGATTCTTTTGTAAAACTCAGTCCACTGTCCGACTATACTGACTGATTCACCCTATACATTGAGAGGCTTATCTTCATGTGTGCATATTATATTCAAGCATTGTTATGCATTTTATCTGCCACTGAATCCGCCGAATATTTCAAAATCTGATACTCTTACAATAGATGAGCTATAGACAACAATTAACGAGTTGGTATAAAAGACATACACGAGTTCTCTTATCGTCTTTTCACGAAATCAACGAACTACCGAAATCAAACAGCTGTTCAAGTTGGAGCGTTCAAACAGGATGCCGTTATCTTGGTTGTTCTATATTTGGCGTATACAGAAAATCATATTCTTTCAAAGCCTAGAAAGATGATTAAATCAGCTGAGTTATAGACTAAAATTAACGGATAATAAAGGAAATAATCCTATTATTATTGATTCTCTTATCGTTCCATATGAGATACAAGGAACTATCGAAATCACACAAAAAACAGCTGTTCAAGCTGAAACAAGAGCTGTTTTTAGTCCTAGACCTAATATTCAATATCTCACACTAAAAAATATTTCTGCTATACAGGGCGGGTCAGCAAGAAATGTCGCTACCTCGTTTTCATTTTTGTGACTCTTAGAGTGATTATCATCGTAAAAATGCCAGTCGACCAAAGACAGTCAGCAAGTCAACCAAGTTTATGATTTCATCACACTACCTACCAGTCATTATACAGGGTTTTTAAATATATATTTTTGTATGCCAAGTTGAGTAGTCATTGTGAGTCTACTCGCCTAGCAGGTGTTGAATAAAAAACGGATAATTTTGACATCATTTATTTCTTATATATTATACCAACATTTTCAAGTTCAGTAAGAATAAAGGCGATCTCGTTGTTGTTTTTATCTGATTCCATTAAATATCTCAGTCTATCCACCAAGATATTCGAATCTGTCCATTCATCTAAAATATTGTACTCCTCATTCCCAATACTGGCTTCAGGCTCCACGCTCGACTTTGGACGTTTAGGTTTGGTCTTATTTTTGAAGAGGGGTCTGATAATTTCATCAAATTTCTCCTTATCAGCTTGTCCTCGTAATCGCCCTAATCGATCTCTATGAATAGAGCTGATTTCTAGCATCTGTTTATACATCTGGTGATCCAGAGGCGTGTAATTTCGAGGGTTCTTGGAAAATAATAATTCCAAAAGACCCAGAGTATTTTTGAAATCGACATTATCTACGCCTATGTATTGGTCCTCAAAGCGTAGATTCTTATGTCCAAGTGTCCATCTGCCGTCAACATATTTCAGTCCATAAGCATTATCATAATCTGCACAGTGATATTTATCTAATGCTTGCTCTGATGAATGTGGTTTAGACTCCATGATGTGAACGCTATGTCTGATATACAGCTGAAGACTTTTGAATACATCTGAAGACATCTGAATACCTCTGAAGACCTCTGAATACCTCTGAAGACATCTGAATACCTCTGAAGGCGTGATCTGAAGACCTCTGAAGACATCTGAAGACATCTGAAGACATCTGAAGACATCTGAATGCGTGATCTGAAGACCTCTGAATACCTCTGAATACTTCTATAGGTGTGATCTGAAGACTTCTGAATCCATTAACTGCCATCCGCTAATCAGCTAGGTTATTCGAATTGGTGGCGTCCACTCTATGGGCATTCCTCATATGGTGGTATAGATTAGTTTTATTCAAGAATTTCCCGCATTTCTCGACACACAATGCTTGGTGTCGATTATAGCGAAATTTTCACTCTTTAAAACTCTCCCACGTTCTATTGATATTGAAAGCAATCCACTCTCCAGTATTGAGACACTCTGTTATAAATCTGAAATATCTGTGCTCTTAGAGTTTCTGAAATCTCCTGCTACCACTCTGCTAAAATTCACCGAACAAGAATTGCACTATATTCCAGTAGAGTGTATCATTGAACATGCTAATGCTTGTGGGCTATTGGCTGTGTGGCACAAACTTCCCAATGAATATCGTGGCAACTTCAACCTACAAATCAAACTGCCATGCTTCGTTCATTATAACCGACCTGATTGGACTACTCACTGGGATGGACCGCCATCTTCTCAAGAATCATGCTATTTTTGTAAAAAAGCTTTACTGTGAAATAAAAATTGATTATCTAACAATAATTTTCCTCGTAGTAGTTTCATTTCGCATTTATGTACCATTAATGACATATGTCAATGGTAGAACGATATCCCTCAAACCATGCGACTTTGCATATAGGTATATTGGCATTTCCGAGAATTGTCCATAAAAAATCCTATTTTGAGAGAGAGAGTACCCACACACGTCACGTGATGTCATTTTACCAGAAGAAAAAACAACAACAGCATGACGCGTCGTCACCCACTATAAAATAAATAATTAATTATTCAAGTATTTGTTTCCAATACGAGCGCGCGCGCGCTTATCATTCTAAGGGATCTCTCGCTTTGCTAGATCTTCGAACGCCATGAAGCGAGACAGCGTTGCCACACACAATAATGTAACAATATTAACATCCAAACACATACGTCCGACAACGTTGCAGCGCCGAGCGCTCGAGCCGCCTTACTCTCTACCTCGATAGATCCGTTGCAAAGATAAGCGCGCGCGCGCCAGCGATGGATATTATTTTCGACTCGAAGTTTCTTATCTCTGGAATGCATCTCTCGCTTCACTCTACCTCGATGGATCCGTTGCAAAGATAAGCGCGCGTCTGCAATGGATATCCCGTTTGAATAGCATTTAAATAATTGAAATATCACGGAGGTCGGAATACCGCAGTGCGTATATACGCTGCCTCATAATGCAAAGGTCCCTGGTTCAATTTCCCCCACCGGCGGTGACAGCTTTTTTTAATTTATTTATTTAAAAATTCATCATGATTAAGATGTCATAACCTCACAATTTCAAATTTACCGCCATCAGCGCCGCCGCCATCTGCAAATTTGAACTTCGCGCCACCAGCGACACCAGCGACACCAGCGCCAACGCTAACTAGCGGCATTTTATTGAGGCTCTGGCGATCAATCAGCTTTGTATCACTACTGATATGGAAGAGATATCTACTTTTCTGATACAAGCTAAAGACCTTGTGCAGGAACAGAGAAAGGACGCGGAACTACAGGAACTTTTGAAGGCAGTCGAGAAACCCGAGGACGGAAGTGTATCAATAGGTCTGAAGAGGAGAGCAAAAAATTTCAGGATCAGAGACGGCGTATTGTATAAGACAAACCCTTACCCAGAGGAAAAAGACTTAATGGTTATTAGCAAACAGCTTGTAGCCGTAATTTTATTTTCTCACCACTCCGAATTGCTGGCAGGACACTTAGGCATAGCCAAGACCTCCCAAAAAATCGAAACCAGGTACTATCGGACAAATCAACAGGAGGATGTGGAAAAATATGTCAAAGGATGTAAGGATTGCCAGGCCAGGAAAGGTCAACAAAACAGACAACCTGTAGGACTCTTACAGCTCATAGAGGTGGGGACTCCTTTCGAGAAAGTGGGTATTGATATACTTGGTCCATTTCGCAGGAGCCGCTGCAGTAAAACAGTGATTATCGTAGCAACTGATTACGCGACATGGTGAGCAGAGACAGCAGCCCTAACGAGTGGAAAGGACGGACCAGTAGCCAAATTTATTCCGGACAGGATAATTACAAAACACGGCTCTCCACGCCATATCCTGAGTGACCAGGGCCAAACTTTCAGATCAGAACTCGTCAGGAAACTTCTCAAATCTATGAGAACAGTCAATCAATATACCACCGCATACCATCTGGCATGCAATGGTCTGACAGAGCGCCTAAATAAAACCCTGGCCGATATGCTTGCCATTTTTACGAATACAAACCAAACAGACTGGGATGAATTCCTACCACACGTAACATTTGCCTATGATACTGCGGTACAGTCGACCACCAGGTACTCATCTTTATGCTTGTCTATGGGAAGGAACCAATCCTGCCAACCGAGGCAACACTGACACAAGATATCAACTCTCTGGACGCCAGAGAAATCAGAGAAAGGGCATTGGCAGTCCGGAGCGATGCAGTACAGAACATCCTAGCAAGACAAGGATTAGACAAGGTGCGCTACGATGGAAAACATCGGCACATGGAATATGCCCCAGGAGATCAGGTAAAAGTCTTTACCCCAGTCAGAAAGGTAGGCAGAAGTAGAAAACTTTTATTACGGTGGTTTGGACCATATTATGTAACTAAAAAACTGAATGAGGTGAATTATGAGATCCGGAAAAGGCCATCGAACAAGTGTAAAAAGGAACTGGTCCACATGAGTCGAATCCTGCCATATAACGACCCATGGACACCTGACCCAGAGGTGACTCCTGGAGAGGCCTAATAGTGACTATCAGTTTTGAGTGGAAGTGATCAATATTGATTCACATCATATGCTATAGACTTTTTTTCGTCTTTTTCTACAATTAGGTGATTTTTTTCAAACAGTAAACATATGTAGAAATAAGATTCACGACCCAAGGCTCTTGCAGGCTCTGAAATAAGATAAATGCAATGTTATTGTTTTTTTGTTGACCAATATTTTGCCCGTTCAAGGCCTGCAGAACCTAGAGGTGACGGCGGTAGCTTTCTGGAGAGCCCTACCAGAAACCATTACATATGAGGCAACGATTCAACTTATATACGAGACTGCTTGGTATGACGGTGTCCCGATGAGTACTACGAGGGTCAAAAGTAGTTGTGATTCCAGAAGGGATCGAACTAGACCCGAGTGCATGATCTTACAAGATCTGAATGCTCTACAGAAGGCATATGCGGAAGAATTCTCCTCTCTAGCTAAGAGCTGGAGTCCCAGCTACTCAAAAAATAACTCTGAACTGAGAAACGAATTGAAAAAAAGGGCACTTGACTTCATTGGAGATGGGTTGTCATGGTGTTGTGAGGTGGCGACTCAGCACAAGCTAGATGACCTGGTAATGAATGAGCGTAACATTCAAAACCGAATCACAAGAATGCAAAAAGTGTTGTCAGGGACAATAAAGTCAGTTTCAGAGAATTCCGTGAAATTCAAAATGTACGAAGAATCAGTTGCAAACACATTTCACAAAACCGAAAAGCACATCCACCTACTAGAGGCATCATTCAATGACCTCAGAAACAACATTGCATCATTTGAGGGTCAAAAAAATCTTGTAATTTTCGAAATATTAGAAAGTCATTTCACGAACCTGAGGAATGTAATTGAACTCACCAGGGCCGTCAAAAGGGAAGGAATTATTGAATCATGCCGGCACCATCTAATTCCAATTAGTATTATTAACCCGAACACATTGTCGCATGATCTGAATAACTTCAGAAATGGAATTTTGAAGTACGGACAAGAGCTAGCAATCCCCTTAAATGAATTAGCAAAGCTTCATCAACTACCGATTTGTGATTGCTCAGTCGCAAACGATGAATTATATATTCATCTTTGTATTCCAATTATTCAAAAATCGAATAGCTGAGGCCTTTTTGAACTAATAACAACCCCTTTCGCCTGGTATAACCAGACATGTAAAATTCAACATGAATCTATTTTCTTAGCTGTATCAGAACATTCTTTCTCTTCCAAAACTCAGATCCGGCAAATTTCAGGAAGCGGCTTAGACCACTGTAAACCTTTCCATGACAGGCTCTGTCATCTACCTAGATTCTCAGCTGACCCATTTCAAGGACCTGGATGTGCGAAAAAGCTCTACAACGGAGCTACGGTTGAAGAAATCAACCATCACTGCCCCATGAATTGTTATGAATCAAGCATAACGATAATTTCAGAAATAGAGGAAGAAACATATATTATTGCCCACCCGAAACCCAATACTACTATCATTTGTCTGGAACAAAACCATCATCATCGCTGATAAGGCACCCACTAGGCGCATTCAAAATGCATGTACCATATCAGTGTCGGTTGATAGCAAACGAGGAAGAAATCATACCTAGAAAATTTCCCTGTGCTAGGGATTCATTACTTGCAGCTTCAGCTACGCACATTATACCAGCAGCATGGTCAAAGCTAAAATCTTTTGTCCTAAATCCAAAACTCAAAACTAGTACCCCGGTATTCCAAAATATTCAAGAATGCTTGAATTCGAATTGGACGTTAGATACCCTCCACTTGAATCTCACGTCAACTAAAGACAGCGTGGACGGATTATTAGATAGAATTAATAAGGAAGAAGTTAATGATACCTACACAAATACATACGGACTCCAGGGTGATACAATTTTCTTAGTGTGGAATTCAATACTGTCCATAGGTGTCCTGTATATCCTGTTCCACAACCGCCAGGCTTTGCCACTTTTCGCCCCAATTCCTGTGGCGAGAGCCAAATCCAAATCTTTGGTCCATCACGACGTAGCATTTTATCCTATTTGCACATTGTTTGATGGTTTCGTTGGGTACCTCCTCACTAGAATAGGCTTGTTGGTCGTACGAAACAGGCATCACAGGAATCCAAACCCTACAAGTGATAAAGCCACATCAACAACCACCATCGATATGTTATCAGAACATAGTTTAGGGAAGTCAACAAGCAGTCTCAATAATAGTTATTTATGTATCAAGGGCGTAAAGTAGGCGTTTATGGCCTGTGGCGTGAATAATGGCCCGATGGCGCTAGCCGAGGGCCATTACACGCTCAAGGCCATTAACGCATTTCACGCACGTGATACATTCAAAATTTTATGCACTAGTGGTTTATTTTCTGACACCATATTTCCCCGAATTTGATTTGTTGCGTATGAATTCAGTAATCAAGAGAAGCGTAATGTTCATGGATGATTTACATATGAAAATTATCGTACGAATATTGCAATTATCGTAATAGTAAAACTCTTTGATCTCTAGAAGAGATTCATTCTTCAGAATTCCACAATATGCATACCCAGTATATATACCTAACTAATTTTGACGTTGTCAATCAAGCTGATGGTTGTTGTCTATATCAATACATCCAATCATCCAATAAACGAGCTGAATTGTCATTCTTTGACTGAAAAGTAGAAATTAGTGATAATAAACTACTCAACACTAATTTCGTCGCACACCAAAATGTCGCCCCTGTTATAATGTGAATAACTTTTTTCAATTTACAACAATTTGAATTTGGTTCACACTGTTCGATAGCCCAGTCCTTCAGCTATAATCTGGTACTTCAATGAAACATAAGGGTATTCACATAAAATCTCTACATGGTGTTTTCCGACACTGTGCAAAATTTCGGAATATTCAAAAGGCTCTCAAATGGTGAAAAAAAAATTTTTCTCAACTTCGACAACAGAGGCTTGAAGATCATCTCATTACCTCGAGATATTTCGCGAATTAACTTCCTATCTCTCTTATTTACAGAGTGATCTCAAAAAAACAACTTTTTGGTTTTGCAGCCATAACTTTTTTTCACTTCAACCGATTTTGGAAATCTTATCCTCATTTTGAAGATAAAACTTCAGATGAAGAGATCTGAATATCTTAATTGACTCAAGATGGCTATCAAAGATCTAGAGTTTTCTTGAAAGTGACCCAAATCTGGAACGCCCTCTGAATCTCGATTGGGAGGAGAATTGAATGAAAATCAACGTGTTCTCGGAAAAACAATTCATTCTGGATGCGTCCATATTTTCCTCGCTCTCAGTAGTCAAGAAGGTGCGTGAGAAAACACAATTGAAACATGTTCTTGCAGAAACATCAGACCATTTCTCCTCTGTAATGCATGGCCCGTAACCAACGTTACAAGAATCACAGTAAGTGACTGACAAGTCAGGTTAGACGTCGTTTTCGAATCATAAACAGATTTCGATAGTTTCGATCCGATGCCGCGTCTAACGCAAATGTGGGTGACAACTTTGTTCTCGTTGATGACAATGCGAGACCGCATAGGGTTGTTGGTACACCATTTATGATGAGCCTTAGCTGGTCGGGTTTGTCAGTCCATTGTGATTCTTGTAACGTTGGTTACGGGCCATGCATTACAGAGGAGAAATGGTGTGATGTTTTTGCAAGAACATGTTTCAATTGTGTTTTCTCACGCACAATTCTTGACTACTTAGCAAGGAAAATATGGACGCATCCAGAATGAATTGTTTTTTCAAGAACAAGTTGATTTTCATTCAATTCTCCTCCCAACCGAGATTCGGAGGGCGTTCCAGATTTGGGTCACTTTCAAGAAAACTCTAGATCTTTGATAGCCATCTTGAGTGAATTCTGATATTCAGATCTCTTCATCTGAAGTTTTATCTTCAAAATGAGCCTAAGATTTCTAAAATCGGTTGACGTGGAAAAAAGTTATGGCTGAAAAACCAAAAAGTTGATTTTTTGAGATCACTCTGTAAATAAGAGAGATAAGAAGTTGATTCACGAAACATCTCGAGGTAATGAGATTATCTTCATGCCACTGTTGTCGAAGTTGAGAAAAAAATTGTTTTCACCATTTGAGAGCCTTTTGAATATTCCGAAATTTTGCACAGTGTCGGAAAACACCATGTAGAGATTTTATGTGATTGATTACCCTTATGTTTCAATGAAGTACGAGATTATAGCTGAAGGACTGGGCTATCGAACAGTGTGAACCAAATTCAAATTGTTCTAAACTGAAAAAAGTTATTCACATTATAACAGGGGCGACATTTTGGTGTGCGACGAAATTAGTGTTGAGTAGTTTAATAATAGCGATAGATATGGAATCGGATGAAGAAAAAGTTTATGATATACCGCTGGATATATTAGAATCTAGGGAAATGATCATAGGTTTTTCATGAATTGATATGTGGATATAAGGTAACTGAGAACAGCGGGCGGTAAAGTGCACTTTACGGCCCGTGGGCCATAATGAGCCCGCGGGCGGTAAAGTGCGACTTAACGCCCGCAAAACCGGGCGGTAAAGTGCACTTTACGGCCCGCTAGTGCATAAAAGTTATATATTAGAGATTGGGGAGGCCGACGTAAGCACATTACAATCCGGACAGAGCCTCAAATGCATTCTACGAGAAAAGGATGCGGAATGAGAAGGCTTACTAAGTATAGTTTGTATAACCTAGGCTAACTAAGTTATTATGTGTGTTTTTTTTATGTTTGAGGAAAAGAATAGTTGATAAAAAATGAAAAAGTACTTACCATAATATGAGACATCAAACCTGGACCCTACCGATAGAAAACTTGGGATGCGAGCTAACCAGAAGGGCAAATAGGCCAACGAAGCTGCAAAATAAAAATATAATAAACAAGGCGAGTGAAACTTGATTAGTGAATAAGGAATGTATGAATTAATGAGAATATGTGAAACGGTGTTTGCTTCACAAATCGAGGAGTAATTAGGAAGAATGTCAGGGGAAGGGCTTCACATTAATTCAGCCAAAATGGCAATAACATTTTGAATGCAAATGATGTCCAGTCCATCAAATGAACTGCGAATGAATGAACAGTTCGCAAACGGATTCGTTTGAAAAGTAAAGAGGGTGTAAAAGACCAATGGGTTCTGGATTATATATGAGAGTTATTGTAAGATTTGGCAGAACACGATAAGGCAATTTCTGAAAATATTATTATGTCCAACTTACGGATACTTCTATGTCACGAAATTACGTAGGCTGTAAAAAATTTGGCCAATTCATTATATAATGTTGTTGGCATAAACAATGAAGTTCGTTTGGGAATGTTTCCGTTGAGAATAGAGTTTATACTATATAAGTTATTGATATGAGGGGTATTCAGACTAGCAAATTCAGTAAGTTCAAGTTTGAATGGGCTAAAAAAGGGCCAGAAGGATGTCATAATAAACTACCTAGGTATATCATAAGGTATATCATGAGTTATGCTCGAGATCACTTTATATTAGGCTATATTAGGCTATATACACGATGAATTTGAAGTTATATTTAGGTAGGGACAGAAGTTCACGAAGTTAAAGTGAATAAATCGAATTTTGTAAAGAAC